CCACAACTAGACTGAAGAACAAAACAACAGCAACTTGTCTGTTCCCCTTCCCCCAATTCCCCAGTGCTGTTCCCATCCCCCAATTCCCCAATAAAAATCTTAAAAAAAAAAAGTAGCTCTGTTATTTTTGCTATTAATGCCAATATGTAAGTAATAGTAAGTGCAGTTGAGCATTACTTGTGTTCCCAAACACTGTATATACCTTGACTATAAAACTCATCACCTAATATTGAGATTATTTATTTTATGTGGGTATCTATTCTCTTTTCCCTGATTGCTTGAGCAACTTGAGATCAAAGATCATCATGTCATTTCTCCAGGACCTAGCACAGACACAGAGTACACATATGATAATTGTTGAATGAATGTGTGACTGTATGTCTGTAACTGTTAATGTGTGTGTGTGTGTGTGTGTGTGTGTGTGTGTGTGTGTGTGTAAGGAACCATTGCCTAGACCTGCACTGTCTGGTATGGTAGCCACTATCCTTATGTGACTATTGAGCTCTTGAAACACAGCTAGTGAGACGGAAATAGTGAATTTGTAATTTTATTTAGTTTTAGTAAATTTAAAATTAAAAACTAAAGCAATGTCCAATATTTTTTCTATGAAATACAACTTTACAGTTTTGGTTGGACTACATTTTCCTTGAACCATTGAAAATTTTGTGTTTGACTTACAATGTGCTATGAGTGTAAAATGTTCACTGGATTTCAAAGACTTAGAATTAAAAGAAGAACAAAATAGCTCATTAATGATATCTTGCTCTCTACAGGATATTATGGTGGCTCTGTGCTACTCCCTACTGCCTTCTTATCTTTATCTACGAGAAAATGAGAAAACTTACCATCTGTTGTCATCCAGGCGGTCAGGGTTCCTGCACTCTGCTCTGACTGAGTGGTCACCAGCTTCCTAACTAGCTCTCCCATCCTGCCTGGTTCCTCTAGACCCATCGCCCTTCTCCCCCCTTCACTGCCTGGCCTGCACGTGGACCCTGGCCCTTGAGTCCTTGACTTCAACACCCGGCTCCTTCCAGTCCTCTGTGCCCTGCGCTCCCCCCTCAGGCCTCCAACCTGGTCCTTCTGCTCATCTCCGCTGGCTTCCTCCCCACTGCCTTCCCCAGCTAACTCTTCTCTTCCACAGGCTGGCTGGAGAGGGAGACCTACTACTAAACTCAGCAAAGGAAGAGCTTCACATGACACGGGGTGTCCTGAGGGTTGGGTGGGGCGTTAGGAATTAGGAGTTTGACTTGACATCTGAGTTTGGACAGAGAGATACTGGGATGAATCACCTTGGATGAGAGAGACAGGCAATCCTAGGGCTGTACTGAGTGCACCGTGGGTAGGAGATGGGGTGGGTTGAGGGGACGGAAGCCCAGCCTACATCTGACTAGAGCCCAGTGGGGAGGGGGCTTGTCCTGTTGAATCAGGGGCCAGTCTAGAGAGTAAATGTTTGCAACATCTCTCACCTGGCTGGATGTGTCGTATCTGATTTTGGGAGAGTGGGGATTACTGTGATGCTCTCATTCTAGATCTTCATGGGAGCCAGTCAGGGGAAGTCAAGGGCCACAGTCAAGGCTGAAAGGAAATCAGAATCAAGCATCATTGCCCCTTGAGGGCTATCCCCATCTTAAAGTCACTTTCCAACCCGATGGAGATTAAGGACAAGACAACTCAAGCTGGGATCAGAGAAATGGGAGGGGTTGAGAAAAGATCAGCAGAAACAGAACATATAGAGGAGACCACACTACCTATATCCAGTACTGGCAGGTAGACTCCTCTAGCCCCCACCTCAGTTCCTCAGATCAGCTTATAGAATCAGTGTTTCAGTGCTAGAAGAGATCTTATTTCATCGATAAAAAAACCTGAGGTCCAGAGAGATTCAATGACTTGGGAAGGGTCACAGGGTGAGTGGTGAATGTGGGGCTGCAGACCCTCCTCTGAGGAAGGCACTGGTGGTCCCTGCCTTCTGCCCCCTGCCATGGTTGGGTCATCTTGACCCCATCCCACCCCTCTGCCCATTTTCTCTGCTGTTGCCTGGAAATAGAAGCTGAAACAACGCTTTCTGGATCCACGTAGCTTTTAGTTTAGGCGAAGAACCCTCTCGCCTCATGCCCCAGGCTCTACAGGGTGATGGACCTTTCCAAGTGCCTGGTCCCCGATTCTGGGCCCACACACTTTGCTACATCTCAGGTGGGCGAGGAGTCTCTAGGGAGCCTTTCTCTCCTGCCCACTCTCAGTGATAGCTCTTCCTTTCTCTTCACCCACTCACTGGCTTTTGCTTTGTGAGCTGGTCCACTTTGCCCTGTGGGTCAGTTAATTCTCAGGCCTTTTTTAGAGGAGAGGGTTGGCTGTTCCCCAAAGCCTACAGCGTGAGAGAGAAAGGCTAAGGAAAGCTGGGGGAAATCATAGACTGTCACCAAAAGCAAAGCACATGTGTTCAGTGACTGCACACTATGCCTGGCATTGGGACAAGGCCTTATACACACACCATCCATTAATTCACACAACAAATATATTCTTATCACCCCATCCCATTTTATAGATGAGGCAACCAAGGTCTGTCTGACTCCAGAATTGTGCCCTTTTCAGACTAGTCTTACAATGAGGGCCGCGCAAAAAATATGCAAATACAAAACAAAACAAAAATAGGATCGTCTGAAGGGCCACAGACTGATCTGGAGGATGAGAGACCATGGGCTAGCAAAGTGAAGGCCATTGTAAGGTACAGTCAGCCACAATCCCTCTACATCAGCCCCTCCTCGGAGGTCTCCCCACCCATGCTCCCCTCCCTCCTTCACAAGTTCTCCTAGGGACAGGGCTCTATCAGTCTGGGGTCCTCCCCTGGCTGCTGACACGGCTGAACCAGACCCTGGATGATGAAGGGACCAGGGTGTGTGTGAGTGAGGTGTGGAGGGGCCAGCTCCTCAGGTTTCAGGAGCAGGAGCTTCGGGTGTCTGGTGGGTTAAAAATACAGAGGCCCCAACTCAGGGTCATTTGATACCAGTGGCTGAGCCTGCTAAGTCCAAGGGCCTGAAGGCAGGGGCCCAAAGGGAAAGGACTGAGTACCAAGTAGAGAACAAAGCATCAGAGCGAGGAAGATGGGGTGAGTGGGGGCCTGCAGCTACTGGAAAGCATAAGGCGGGACTGGAGAGCCAAGGGCAAGGAGAGGGAGCACGATGGGATGAAAAGTCTGGTGGCTGCAGGAGAGGGTGAAAAAATGGAGCAGGCATGGGCCACCATTTAGTCTCACTCACACTCTTGAAGGTACACAAGGTCAGATTCAGCATGGACAAGTCTAATGTCCCAATGTCTCGGTCCAAATGTTTCCCCTCCCCCAGAGTGCAGCAGAAGTGAACAACTGGGGCTGGACGTCATCCAGGTCATCTACGTCCAGGTAGGTCTGCCTATCTGTCCTGCTGTCTGCTCTGGTTGTAGGGCCGTGGGCACATTAGTCACTCTCTGTGAGACCAGGAGAGGGGAAGCCTGGGGGAGAGCTCTGTTCAGCTCCAACATGCCTATCTGGCTCCAGGGACAGCTGTCCCTCCTGGATCCACTCCTGCCACGATCCTGAGATTTTCCAGGGCTTTCCTTACTTAGCGTGTAAGGTCCGCCCCATGGGAGTGTGGAAAAGTTACTCCTCTAAGAATGTCAAGCCACTGCCTGGGTGCAAAATAAACACCATCAGTTCAAGGGACTTCTGACTAAGATCTAGCCCCTCTCTGAGCTCCCTCATGCCTCAGTTTACCTATGAGTGGTAAGAGCCCGGGGAATGGGGAGCGGTCATGAAGAGGGTCCTCCCTTCCTAGGTACCCAGAGCTGAATTCATCCACTCAGCCTTCACCCCCAAGCTGGGCTCCAGGAAGTTAGAGCCTCTCCTCTCCAACTCCAGTTGGCTTTCAGGTGCACAGAATTAATCAGCATCCTTGGCTCAGGGCATACGGCCCAACTCTTCATGATTTCCCAGTGTTCATTTTTCCTCTAGTGTTTATACCCAATCCGCCTTGTCAAAGATGGAGGAATGAATGGCCACTATTCACTGCTGTCCTTGGAACCATTCAGGCCTGGGGACCCTCTCTCCCCATGGTCCCCCCAGAAAACCAAGTCAAATAGGATCAGAGCTCCAGCAGGAGGCAGCAGCTAAGGGCTTACCCCTTCCTCATAGGCAGAGGAGTCCCAGATGCACATCTCTACAGAATAGATGTGGCTAGCACCTCCCGCCCCAGGCCCTCCTTCGCCTGCATTCCCGAATTAGGAGTGTTGAGTGAAGCAAAGGAAATGGGGTGGAGCGGAGCCAGGTAGCCAGTCCTGGACACAGTTCCATCTTTTATTCAGAGGATGATCTCATCCTTGGTCCTGGTTCTTTAACGGGAAGTGCCGGGGGTCTCTTTCCTATAGCCTGGGTTATATTTTATTGCCCCCTCTTCTCCACAGGATCAAAGAAACAGACTTCGCCTAGAGGAGATTCCAGCTTTCATGACTTAGAGTCAATACTGCATTTGTCCTTTCTCTCCTGTATTATGAATTTAGCCTCTGACCCAGAATCTTTCCCCCTCTCCACCCCCATTTCCTTTTCTCTGAGTCCCCTTGCCCTCTCTCACTTCTCCTAATTACCCCAATCTCCCCTTCCCCCACCCCAGTTTCATTTACCTCCAGACTCATCTGGTCTTATTTTTAGCTCCAGCTTTTTCCTTTCTTAATATGGAGATGAGCTCTTAGACTGGTGTGGGGACAGGGGCAAAGGAACCCTGGACATTGGGGGAAGGGGAGGGTGATAAGGCTCTGGGAGCCTGGGGGAGAGGGGTAGGAGGTGGGAGGATTCCAGCCTCAGGGAGCTGTCCTGGCCTCAGAAGGTTACCCGTCTCTCCTGCCAACCCCGGAGACATATTTAGACAGGACCAGGTGGGGCTGAGGGTGCCAATCTCAGGGGAAGCTCCGGTTCCCTCCCCGCCCCCTGCTCCTGTTCCGCCTCCTGACCCTTTTTCTCTTGGCTCTACTGACAGTTTCTTCAGGACCCAGCAGTGTCCTCTGTCCACTGCTCTAGGCTGTTCCCCACCCACCCCCACTGTGAACCCCTAACTCAGGATTCGGGACCCAGGGGCCCCTCCCTACCCCAGCGAACCTCTTCTGGACCAGGAAAGCCAGCCCAGACCCCACTACCTCCATGCGCGCTGCAGACAGGATGGGGGCCAGAGCTGTGTCGGGCCTGCGGCTGGCACTGCTGTTGCTGCTGGTGCTAAGGACACCCGAGTCAGGGGTGCAGGGGGAGGATGGGCTGGACTTCCCCGAGTATGATGGCGTGGACCGTGTGATCAATGTCAATGCAAAGAACTACAAGAATGTGTTCAAGAAGTACGAGGTGCTGGCACTGCTCTACCACGAGCCCCCCGAGGATGACAAGGCCTCACAAAGACAATTTGAAATGGAGGAGCTGACCCTGGAGGTGAGTGCTGGGGTCTGCAGTCCTGCAGAACACACTTAGCCCCTCTCCGTGACTCCCCATCCTACAACCCCATGTACGTCTTTGAGGGTGGGATCTGGGGGCCAAGTGCTTTGTGGCAGGACTCCTGTCTTGACCAACAGGACCCAAGTCACGTGTGGCCTTAACCAAATGGGAAACAGAGACTTGGAAACCCAAAAGTACCCCCATAGTCAGGCAATTTTAGGAGACAGGGGGATTGTGAGGGGTTGTCTCCTCCATGCTACAGGAGGCTGGTAGTACTAGGTTTGGCTAGGACTGGGGTGTCCTTGGAAAGGGGGCATATAGCAAAAAAGAGGTTCTTCAGAGGTAGGAGGCATTGCAATACAGTAGACAGCGCCCACCCATCTACTTTCCTAGCCAACACATGCCCCCTCTTTATATACTTTAGGGGCAGCACTCTAAAGAGATCCAAACTGAATATAAGTTTAAATGTTATTAACATCTTACTTGCATGTCATTTATTTCCTGGCTAAAGGTTTACTAGAGACCACCATGCACCCTCGCTGGCCTCTCAGTCCTCCTCTTTTCCTCCCCTTCCTAAATCTCCATCTGCCCCTATTGGATCCAGCTGGTTGCACTGATTAGAAAATTCTTGTGGCTAGAGGAGGCTTTGGAATGCCCCAGCTGCTCCTTGTGGGAAGATTCTCCTCACCCCCAAGCTGACTCCAGGCCCAAAGGAGAGAGGGGCTATTGGAACAAGAAATAACATCTGTGTTTGGGGGTGACGGGCATGTGGACACACACACCTCTCCGGGTGCTGGCATGTGTTAGCAGCTCCTTGTGCAGGCTTCGGCAGCCCCTTCTTTAACCTGGCAGTACAGAGAGGCCCCAGCTTGCCCAGAGCTTGGAGTATTTCAGGGCAAGATACCAGGACCTCAAGCTCTCATTTCTGTGTGCCCCGGCTGGGTGCTGGAACCCACTATCTGATTAATGAGCGGAGTATTTTTATCCTGAGTGCTCAGTATCCGTGGCCCTCCACCTGCCAACCACCTCCCTTCCCATCCTTCCGAATTTGTGTTAGGTGGGGTTAAGCCACAAGCTGTGTCCAAGGCAGAGTTGAGTGCCCAACTGGCAGGCTGAGGGGGGCAGGGACCTGGGGTGTGACTGTCCACAGCTTCAGGACAGGCCGAGGTAGACGGTGAAGGGGAAAGTTCGCCCAGATGAGGAGAGCCAGCTGTCACCTCTAGTCCCCGGTTCTCTTCTGAGAGTGATGAGCCCTGGCCACAGCTTTCTGGCGTTCCCCACTCCTCAGCAACATGACCAGGCCCCCACCACCCTCCTGCCCCCCCAAATTCTTCACATTGGAGGTTGTTCAAAGAATCCCAGGGAAGACACCCCATTCTGGGCATGGCCTTTGATGAGGATGCAGTGCAGGGGCTCAGCCCTGAGCCAGGGATGGGCCGCATTTTCTCTGAAGCCAGACTCCTGGGCATCCCTGAGGAACCAGGAGTTTCATTCACAGCCCCTCAAAGTTGAACATAATCAGCACATAGTAAACAAGCAATAAACGTTCAGGGATTAAAACTGAGCTAAGGCCCAAAAGGGTGGGATTGTAGGGAAAGTGAAGATATTCTGGATCCTTGCACAGCATCAAGGCTAACTCTTCAATTTCCTGCATCCCAAGTGACCTGACTTGAAAGCATGAGATGGGGAATCGGGGTTACGAAGAATTTCAGGGCTGACTTTACCCTAACCCTCCCTGCAGTTAGCAGCCCAAGTCCTAGAAGACAAGGGTATTGGCTTCGGGATGGTGGACTCTGAGAAGGATACAGCTGTAGCCAAGAAACTAGGTAAGGGAGGGGTGGGAGCACAGGGAGGGAAAGATGGCGTGTGAGACCGGACGGGCAGCCCTTGTATAGGCTAGGGACTCCATCATGCCTATTCTGAAAGGTGGGGAGAAAACACTAAAATTGGGAGGGTCCCCTCTCTTTTATTCTTTATAAAGACCCATGATCAAAGTCCAGAAAACATGTGACTGGCTTTCTGTGTTTTTTAGGTAACTAAAAAACAGAGCTAGGTACCGGAGGAAAGGGGGAATCAGGAAACACAGGTGGGGCTGGAGAGTCCTGTGCAAACTTCTCTTTCCACCTCTCCCGCTCCAGAGCGTGGCTAGGTGTTACAGGACCAGCCACCAGGGGGCAGCACATGCCTGAGACTGGACTCCGGATGTGGATGGGGGAGGGGTGATCAGTGATGAAGTCATCTGGTCAGTAATAGCAGAGGGTTAAAGGGTTGCACTGGGAATTGGCCACTGGAGTCCTCAGAGGAGTTAACATGAATATCTCTAGTATGGCAGGCAAAGAAAGGGAGAAATCTTGCTAGAGTCTAGATCTCCCTATATCCTCTTCTAACGCCCCCACCTGATCCCAGCTTCTTCCTGGAGAGCCCCTGGGTCCAGTCTAGCCGCCTGGGCTAAATAAATCCAGGGGATAAGCGCCAGGGGTGTAGGGCTAAGGGGCAGTGGAGGTGAGCAAGGTGGGGCAGGGGAGATGGAGGAAGTGAGGCCCAGTGGGATTATGCAATGGGCTGTGGCCCTGCACTTGGATCCTTGGCTCTGTGGGAAGGTTGGGTTCATGGCTCACCTCTGGCCCACTCCCTAGGACTAACTGAAGAGGACAGCATCTATGTATTCAAGGGAGATGAAGTCATTGAATATGATGGTGAACTTTCTGCTGACACCCTGGTGGAGTTTATGCTTGATGTGAGGATTCATTACCCTGGCACCTTCATGCCCATCTCTGACCAACCCCAACCCCAACCTTACACACACACACACACACACACACACACACACACCCCAGAGAGCCCCTTCCTCCTGGTCCCCAGCCCTTTTCTCTCTTCTCTCTCACCGCTCTCTCTACTTCTACCAGTCAGGACAGAAACTCATTCTCATCTTTCCAGGTTCTAGAGGATCCTGTGGAATTGATTGAGGGTGAACGAGAGCTGCAGGCATTTGAGAATATCGAGGATGAGATCAAACTCATTGGCTACTTCAAGAGCAAAGACTCAGAGCGTGGGTAACCCTCCGACGCCACAGTCCTCTTCCCTGGATACCCTACTTCATGGCCTCTCTACCTCTTAACTCCTCTTTCCACAGTCAGCTCCATCAACTGCTCTTATCTCTTGCAGTCTGGGGGTTCCCAGACAGACCCCTCCAGCATTCCACCCCCCATCATGTTTTAATCACTCTCAGAGGGCTAGAAGGGGTGGGTCTCAAAATGAACCCTCCCTGCCAAAAAAGAACTGGGGGAGGCAGAGAAATGGCTCCCTGGCAGACCCTACTCCCCCAGAGACTGACTGTGCATCCCCCCTCAGATTTCAAGGCCTATGAGGACGCCGCGGAGGAGTTCCATCCGTACATCCCCTTCTTCGCCACCTTCGACAGCAAGGTTCTCTCTTCAACCCGAGGCCATATTGGGTCTCCCTTACCCTCCTCAGTGGCCTTCCAGCCCCTCTCCCAGAATCTCTGGGGGACCTGGTCCCTCCCTACACATGACACTTCCCACCTCCACCTCATGCCTCCCCCACCCCCAAAGATTTTAGATGATCTAACACACCCCTCTCATGTCCAACCAAAGCCCAGAGAAGTGAAGACACTTGTTCAATGTCACAGCGGCAGTGATGCGAACCTAGGCTGTCTGGCTCCTTTCCTAATACCTGCTCCCTCATAGTATTGCTTCTCACTGTGATCCTAAATCCCCTGATCCCCGCCCGCACCCTCCCCCAAAGGTGGCAAAGAAGCTGACCCTGAAGATGAACGAGATAGATTTCTATGAAGCCTTCATGGAAGAGCCTGTGACCATCCCAGACAAGCCCAACAGCAAAGAGGAGATTGTCAGCTTCGTGGAGGAGCACAGGAGGTGGGGACAGGGGTAACCCTCTGAGCAAGGCTAGAACATCCTTCTGTGACATGTGCTGGGGGAATCTCAGCCAACCAGGAGGCTGTTCTTGCCTGGAGACAATACACTCTGGGTGCCAGTGCTCATGATACGCTGACGCTTTTCCACAATATTTTGCATCCTATCCAGCCCTGAGCCCTACATAAAGAAGGCCCTCCATAAACGTATACAGTTCATTGTGATGAGTGTTGAATGCCTGTGGTCTGCCAGGAACTGAGAGATGTTTTCTATATTATTATATTTAATCCTTTCAATAACGTCAATTAAGGAGGCTCTACAGGGAGTACGTGTTAGAACTGGATTCCAACCCAGATCTGGCTGGTGTTCTTTCTCATATATTACCCTATACGAGTTCTTCTCAATAGGAGCGGAGGGATTGGAAAGGTAGGGGGAGAATTTTGCCCCCCAGAGAGTATTTGTTAATGTCTGGAGACATTTTTGGTTGTGGGGAGTGCTGCTGGTATTAAATGGGCCGAGGTCAGGGATGTTGCTAAACACCCTACAGTGCACAGAACAGCCCCCCACAAGGAAGGATCACCTGGCCCCAAATGTAAACAGTGCTGAGGTTGAGAAACCCTGCGCTACACCTTACACATAGTTCTCGTTCATTGTACTCCGCAGCTGGAAATACCCTTTCATCAGGGCAGGGACATGTTTGCTTTGTTCAACTCTATCTACACAACCCCGAGCACAGGGCTTAGACGGTCTCAGACACTCAGTTTTATTGAAAGAATGAGTGAATGAATGAATGGATACGCAGATGTCCAGTTTTTACATTTCTCCCAAATGTCTCTCTTGCAGTCCCCTTGGCCGCCCTCTGTTCTCTCACCAGCTTTAACCATGCAATGGTCTGGGCCTGGTGTCCAGAGCTTAGACTTTGCCAGATGACTTTGATCTGGGTTCTAAGCTATCTGTGCCCTAGGCGTGACCCAGAGGCAGTCTCTGCTGTGGGGACCCTTTGGGGGGCGTGTTTCTCACCTACTGAGAAGTGGCTCTCTCTCTGTGTCTCTTCTAGATCGACCCTGAGGAAACTGAAGCCTGAAAGCATGTATGAGACCTGGGTGAGTGCCCCAGACAGGGACCAGCCCTGGGGGAGCACGGGTAGCTGCAGACTCAGTCCTAGAAACATCCTATCCTGCTGTTCCTCGTACCTCGCTTGTAGGAAAGACAGTGCACCAGCAAAGGTTGGGGGGGGTTGTTCTAAAGAACGTGTCATATATAAGTTGATGAAGAAGACAAGGGAGGAGCCACAATCTCGGGCTGAAGAATTTGCAGTGTCATTTGGAAAAGGGTCACCACCACAAGAATATGAGGTCTGGAAATTAAGTTTGCGAACTCATCCTAGAAAACGTGCTACATACCTCATTGCTGACTATCACTATGGTCACCTTCAAAGTACTCCCCTTGGGAAGCTATGCACCGACACCAGCACCTAGTCCACCCTTCAAAGCAATTTTGGAACTCTTTTTCTCACATGGCCATCAGAGCTGTCATCGTATTAGCCATGATGACCTGAATGTCTTCAAAATGTCTTCCTTTCAATATTGCCTTTATCTTTGGATAAAGAAAGAAGTCACTGGGGGCCAGATCAGGTGAGTAGGGAGGGTGTTCCAATACAGTTATTTGTTTACTGGCTAAAAACTCCCTCACAGACAGTGCTGTGTGAGCCGGTGCATTGTTGTGATGCAAGAGCCATGAATTGTTGGCGAAGAGTTCAGGTCGTCTAACTTTTTCAAGTGGCCTTTTCAGCACTTCCAAATAGGAAACTTGGTTAACTGTCCAGTTGGTACAAATTCATAGTGAATAATCCCCCTGATATCAAAAAAGGTTAGCAACATCATTGCAACAAGTTCACGAACTTAATTGTCCGACCTCATATACCTTATCCAGAAGCTGGATTTCCACAAAATTCGGGTTCAAGGAAGACATAGGGTCTGTTCTGGACTCTTTGTTAGCTAAGGCCTCCTTCCCCCACAACAGGAGGATGATCTGGATGGAATCCATATTGTGGCCTTTGCAGAGGAAGCTGATCCAGGTGAGGGAGGAATACTGGATTGAAAGGGGGTGGAGGTTGCTGGTGAGAGGGAGAGACGGGGGTGCTTCTTAGAGCATAGGCTTCACTTCAGAGGCATTCCTGGGAGAGTGCAAGTGGCCTGGGGCTAGACATGCAGAGCTTGCGGGAGGCAGGGAAAGAGATCTGGACTTTGTGCCCTCTGTGTCCCTTTCTTCTCCACCCCACCTCACACTTCTCTCTTGTGTTCCAAGATGGCTATGAGTTCTTAGAGACTCTTAAGGCTGTGGCCCAAGATAACACCGAAAACCCTGATCTCAGCATCATCTGGATTGACCCTGATGACTTCCCCTTGGTAAGAGGCACCACTCAGGCACGGCTGTCCTAAGGTGGGGCCTGGACTGTGGCACGTTCTGAGGGTAGCTTGTTTCAGAGTTCATACCCCATCTTCTAGCTGGGGCCCTGAGATTCTGCCAGCTGCCTGCTCAGGGGCACTGTGGGCATGGAGAGAGCCTAAGAAAGGGGATCAGGGGGGGAAGTAAGCCGCAGAGGACACCCATATGACTCCCAGAGCAGAGGCTGGGCAGGGAACTCATGTGCAGGGCTGACTCCCTCTACAGAAAACCAGAGTTTTGGGGAGCAGATGGGCACATTAACCCTGCACATGGGTGTATAAAATCATAGAATCAAAACAGAGAGTTTCCATGTCTCAGGGGACGGCTTTCTTCCCAGCTTAATCCTCAACATCCCACACTCATTGTTGAAAGACTTACTGACTGAGCAAACGGAAATGCGAAGAAATTGGCAATTACCAAGTATAACCACCTAGTTTAGAGATGTAGAAACTGAGGACCAGGGAGAAGTGACTTGCCCAAAGTCGCAGGGTCACTCAGTAGCTGATCCAGGATCAGAACTATCTAGTTTTCCTCTGAAAGGAGGGGTCAGTGTCCCCAGGTGACCCTTCTGATACTTTCCTTTTGAGATGTCTCCCCTTTAACTGCTTAGCTCTACCCATGCCCTCAGGCCCTGCATTTGGACCCATTCCCCATCCACCATTGGTTCGTAGTGTCCTCCTCTATCTCTGGGCTGACCCTCACACTCAACCTCCTGGACTCATGTGTTCCTTGACTCCATTAAGTTGCCTCATGTGGTCCCTCCACAGCTGGTTCCGTACTGGGAGAAGACGTTTGATATTGATCTGTCAGCCCCACAAATAGGAGTCGTCAATGTTACTGATGTAAGTTTTCTTTCCTCACCCCGGTTGACCCCCAACTCTGCTTCCCAGCATAGCTGGCTCTCCTTTGCCCTGCTAAAGAGCAGTTGAGTGCTTTGCAGAGGAATCAGACATTCCCAGTCTAATGGCTGGACAGAGGGAGAGATTTGTGCCCGAGCACACCTGTCTCCCACTGTTGGAATTGGCTGCTAATCCTTCGAGGCCCAGCTCACATCGTCTCTTCTTCATGAAATCTTTTCTGATTTTGGAAAGATCTTGGAATCATTCCTTCCTTGGCACTCCCAGAGCCCACTGGCATTGAGAACATGACTTTCCTATGGCTATTTATGTACCATGTGTGTCTCTTCCAGTAGACTTTGAGCTTTTTGAGGGCAGAAATCTTATTCACACATGGTAGGTGCTTTGAAAATGTGGAGTTGAACTGAAAAAGCCACAGTCTTTGCTTTCCCATAATTCCCAGTCTAACTAGGGAGGCAGGCGTTCCATTAACTACCAGGCCAGATCTGATAAATTCTATAATAAAGATACAAATAAAATTCTAGGAAAGCACAGAAGTCAGTGATTCTCTCTCGAGAGGATCAGAAAAGGTTTAAAAGGAGTGGCATTCAAAGTGGAAATTTGTACAATGTATAGGAGTTCTACAAGTGAAAATTACAAGTCATTTCTAAATTAATGGAAAAGTTTAGTGCAAAAGGTCAAAAGTAGGAAAATGAATATCAGGTTTGGGAAAAGGCAAGTAATTTCTTATGGCTTGAGAATCTATAGGCTGCTGAGGATGGGGCTGGAAAAGCAGGTTATGAAAACCTTGATTGCTGAAGAGTTTCAGACTTTATTCTTTAGCCCATGAAGAGCCATCAGTGTTTTGCATCAAATGTCTGTTTTAGAAGCTCAGCATGACAAGACCATGGAAGAAAGATTGAAGGGAGGTCTGTTTGCCAATCTAGCCATTCTTTCTACTCCTGCTGTCACTATTCTAAGGTCACCTAGGCCTTCATCCCTCACCACTGACACATGAAGGGAGGGGACAGAGGATGTAGGGAAGGATGTGAAGAGTCCAGTGAGTGGGAGAACAGGTCCAAAGACCGGAGTTGGACTTAGCTGTGGTCCTCTGTCTGTGCCACGTCCTAGGCGGACAGCATATGGTTGGAGATGGACGATGAGGAGGACCTGCCTTCCGCTGAGGAGCTGGAGGACTGGCTGGAAGATGTGCTGGAGGGTGAGATCAACACAGAGGACGATGATGATGACGATGACGATGATGACGACGACGACGATGACTAGTTGCCATAGCAACTATCTCCTTGCCCCACCTGCTGTCCTCATGTTCCTTCCTGCCTTCCCTGTCCTTTCCCTGAGCTCTTCCAGAGACACTAGGTGATTCTTTGCCATAGGGCCCATGGGGATCTATATGCTGAGTGCTGAGACCCTGGTTCCCCTCACCTGATGAGGAAAGGAGCTACTTTTCCCCACACAGGAGCCCAACTATCTCATCTAGCTTCTGTTTCTTGTCCCACAATGTCTCTGTATCTATTATTTGTTTCTTCCATTACTCCCTAAACTCTTTCTTGTGAGTTTACTCGTGCCATATCTCTGAGCCCCCATCTCTCTTCCCTGTGTTCCTTCCACCTGTGCATACTCTTCTCCCAACTCTCTCAAATCTTATAGCCTTCTGACAGTCCTCTCCCTGACCAGGAGGAAGGGAGGGCACTGTGTTTGGGGCTGTATCTCAACAATCTCTTGTTAATGTATTTGGGTCAAACAAGAGGCCTCAATAAAGAATCGGGGGCAGCTGAGCAAGTGTCTGCCAGTGAGGTCTCACCTCTATGGCAGGGGGGCAGCAGCCAGAGGGGGGTGTTAGGTGTGAGTGTGTTGTTAGGGGCCACGATAAGAGGGGCTGGGGCCCCTCCAGGCAGTTATCCCAGAGAAGCTTGGATTATTTATCTGCTGCAAGTCAATAAGCCTTTTCTGAACACATGGTGTTTGTCCAGAACCACCATTACATCCTGGGAGAACAGAGAGTGCCAGGCCTGTCCCTGCTCTTGAGCTGATTAGCCTCACTGTGCTTGTCAAAACAAGCACAATAAACAATTAAAGAAAAATACAAAGCAATATGTAATTAAGTGATTACATGCTGCATGATAGCACCATCTCTGTAGCTCTTTTTTTTTTTTTTTAAAGATTTTATTGGAGAACTGGGGAAGGGGAACAGCCAAGTTGTTGTCCTTCCATCTTAGTTGTGGAGGGTACAGCTAGCTCAACTCCAAGTCCAGTCACCATCTGCCGGTTGTTCAAGGTGCCGTGTTCAATCTTAGTTGCAGGCAGGCGTAACCCACCATCCCATGCGGGAGTCAAACCGGCAACCTTGTTAGGAGCACGTGCTCTCACCAGCTAAGCCATCCTGCCACCTATTGGCAGCTCAGTGGCAGCTCAGCTCAGGCGCAGCTCACTGGCTCTTGTGGGAATCAAACCGGCAACCCTGTTGCTCAGAGCTCGTGCTCTTAACCAACTGAGCCACTTGGCCAGCCCTCCCTATAGCTCTTCTTTGAACATCAAGACAGAACCCAAATAACGCTTCCTGGGTGAGGCCTTTCCAGAGGTGGCCCCTTCTGCAGTTCCCTTCTCTGGGTTCAGACTCTCTTTACACCTCTATTCAGAGTACTCAGCACATTCTATCATTCTATCCTAACTCTTCATTGACATGTCTGTCTTCCCTACTAGATTGCTGCCAGGCCTTTTCTCTGTGTCCACAGGGCCTGGCACACAAAAAGCAGTCCCTAATAAATGTTGATTAAAAGAAGAAACAAATGAACAGAATGGGCTCAGAAGAGCGAGATTAGAATGGGCTTTGAGGGCTTCATAAAGGACGTGAATATTTTTTGAGGCCTTAAGTAAGAGTGGGATTTGATTAAGGACAAAGGAGTTGGGGATGGGACATTTCAGTCAGTGGAAACATCAAAAGCACCAGAGGAATGTGTGTGTCCTATTGGGGGCAGAGAGACAAGAAGAGAAGAAGCTCAAGTGGTGGTCATGACAGCGGGTGGGTATGATGGGCCTGGGCTGGAGAGGTATTTGAATTTAATCCGGTGACCTGGGGAGGAAGGGAAACATTTAATCTGGTGTGATGAGCAGGATGAATCCAGGGAGGGGAGATGACAGAGATACCAGAGGCAGGGAGCCCAACTCTTTCGATGGGAGACCATTAAAATAATTGGGGTGAAGGTGGGAGAACATGAACCCGAGTGGTGGTCATGGGAATGGAGAGGAGGCATTGAGTTTTGTACACTGGGGAGCCCCCAGATCTGGGTCTGCTGGAGTTCCTGGCAGGGAGGATCCGGATTCTCTCCAGCAGGGCCCAGGCTGGGGTGTGTGTAAAGGCATCAGGAGTGGGGATGCGGGAACCAAGCAACTGAACAAGCCCATAACTACCAGACAGTTTTCATGGATCCGGTATAAGGGTGTTGCTGGGAGACAGAGAAGATTTCTGACTATAGAAGAAGGAGACCTGAGGTTAGACAAGTTTTCACCCTCCACACACAAATCCAGGAAATACTTGCATTTCTGGAGAAGGTGGCAGGAGTGTAGAGCAGAAACTATGTGTTCATCCAAATTGTACCCATTTAATAACTGTTTAACACATAGTATGGGCACTGGGCCAGTGCAGTAATATCATGGAGCTTACTGTCTGGCATAGTTCCGTGGAAGTCCCAGACTAAACGATAGCTCCCATATTTTAAGCCGCGTTTGTACCGGTCCCTAGAGACTGACAATTTCGGAATCTCAGAAGAACCCTGTAAGATAGGCACTGGTGTCCCCATCTTACCAGCGAGGACACTGAGGCTCAGAGGCACAACTTGAGAAAGGAGTAGAGGCAGCGTGTAGTTCCAGTCTCCTGTACTTGGTGAATTTTAGAAGGCCTGGACCTTCCACTGATGCATATAAATCATTTCATTTCTTTGAGTCTCAAAGATGGGCCAGTGACATAATTTTGGGCCCACCACACAGAACAGATGAGATACATACAATGGCAAATTATGAGGGTGTTACCATCAAAGGGGCAGTGACAGGGAACACTGGGGGGCAGGGGAAAGAACACAGAGAAAGGCTGTGAAACCCAAAGCAACAGGAGCCTGGGCCTCTTTCGAGGAGCAGTGTGGATTCCAGAAAGGAGGGCTCACTTATAGTTTCCTGAGGAGTCTCTGCCAAGACAGAACTGAAAGGAGGCCAGGGCAGTCCTTAGAGGTGGCCCAGACACTGATAGGGCTCAGACCTCTTCCCAGGGCCAGACTCGGCCGGAGTTGAGGCAAGACCCCTTAGGCTGGAGAAGGGGGTGAAAACATATGCTCCCCTACTTCTTCTTTCCGTCTTTCAGTCTTGCTGAGAATCTGGGGGAGGAAAGTCCCTGGGGTGGAAGGGAAGTGAGAACTGCCATGCCAGGCCTGGGCAGAGGGGTAGAGCTAGGAGACAAGAGTTAAGTATGGCTCTGCAAGTTGTCTATATTTGCATGCTGAGCTCACTGCAGCTCTTTTTCTCCCCAGAAAATAAAATGACATCATGGTGAAGGGAAGGCAGTAGGGTAGTATATTTGGGGAAAGAGAGAGAAACACAAGGGGGCCTGCTGGCTTCATCCTAAAGGGAAATCTGTGGCTTCAAGTCCAGCAAAGGCTGCCCCAGTGCAGCTTCTGGCCCCCCACCCCTACCTCCATCCCCACCGTCCAAAGTGAGTAGTCTGAGCAGTCATTACCCCGGACTCATGAAGCGGGGAAAACAGGTGTTTTTTTTTCCAAAATACCAAGTCAGGCAGCTAAGAGGACCCAGAAACCAAAGGCCTTCCAAACCCCTAAACCCAAACTTGCTCTGTGCCTCCCAGGGTTCTAGCCATGGTGGTCATTGAAGGGTAATCATGGGAGGAGGGTGTCCCATTGGGACAGAATTAAATCTGAGAACTGGGTTTCGAGGTTTGGGAGAGGGGGCAGCGCCCCGCTCGCGGGAGTCTTCCAGAGCCGCAGCCCCTCGCCTTCCCCAGCCCGCCGCGCCCCGCCCCGCCGCGCCCCGCCCCGCCGCGCCCCGCCCCTCCCCGGCTCTGACGTCACGGCCGGCCGGGTGGGGCGAGGCGGTGCTGGGCTCTGGCTCGCGNACACACATTAGTCCCTGCCCGCCCACCTCCTGTGTTTTAGGTTCAGAGCCCGAAATCTTAACTCCTCTCAGGAGACACACACACACACACACACAGAATTAAATCTGAGAACTGGGTTTCGAGGTTTGGGAGAGGGGGCAGCGCCCCGCTCGCGGGAGGCTTCCAGAGCCGCAGCCCCTCGCCTTCCCCAGCCCGCCGCGCCCCGCCCCGCCGCGCCCCGCCCCTCCCCGGCTCTGACGTCACGGCCGGCCGGGTGGGGCGAGGCGGTGCTGGGCTCTGGCTCGCGCTCCGCGGACGGAAGCTGCGCGGCAGCGGGAGCCGACGACGAGGCTCCGGACGCTGCTCAGGAAACAGGGACGCCGGAGTGCCTGCGCCCCGCGCACTGAGCCCCGAGGCGGTGAGAGGGTGCGGAGGGGATGCGTCTCGCGGAGGGGGCAGCTTTGGGGTCTGGGCTCGGAGGGGCGTGGATCGGGACGCCCGGACAGGCGCGGGGCATGGGGCCCCTGTCGGGTCCGCGGGTCCGGCCCCTGGGCCTCGTCCCCGGAGGAGTGCCTCGAGCATGTGCCAGAGGCGGCGGGGCTCCGGCCTCCCAGTCCCCGCCGGCAGGCGACGTGAGAGTCGCACGGGCCTGCTTCCCGCCCAGCCTGCTCGGTGGCCAGCTGCCGCCCCCCTCCCCTTCTCTGGCTGCGGACTCAACCTCGGAGATGGCCTCCCTCCCGGCCCAGTCCGTCTCAGTGCCCCCCTCCCCCGCAGCCCGGCTGGCCCTGTGCGCCCCCACCCCGCCCTCTGCACCTGGGGAAGAGGTGGGATTGGTGACAGCTTGTCCGTTGGGAAGGAAGGAGCTGGGGGTGTAGAGGACTGAAGCAGCTAACGTAAAACCCCTAATTATTTTCATATAATCCGCGTGAAAACTGACAGGGGCACACACCTACAAGAGACACGCCAGCACACACGGTGACACACACCCGTGTGACTCCTACACACCGTCTCTCACACGAGCAGATTACAAACGTCCCTGCACTACACATCCCACTTGCAAATCACCTGGAAGAACAGTAGTCTAACTGGACATCTGAGTGGGGGCCCCTGTCCCCAAGTCCGCCCTAATTTTCTGGGCATCTTCTCCCAGCCCTGAGCTTCAGATGGCCTCTCTTTAAAACTGGGGAAAGATGGGAGAAAATCCTGGTTTCACTCCAGGAGATGGAGATGGAATGCTGCGGGTAGGCTGGTGGGTGAGTAGGGGGGCAGGAGCGGCTGGAGGCCTCTCTTGCTGGGTCCAGCTAGAGCTTCTAGGGTGCTGGGAGTGGTTGGTTTCTGGCATCAGAGTGGAGGAGGGGGTGGAAGCAAGGGAGAGAGAGAAAAAGAAAGAATAAGTATGAGTCAGCCAAGGATGGAGCCCAAGTCAGAGAGAGAGAATGAGGGGAATGTGTGTGAGATCCAGTCAGGAACAGGGAGAGGGAGGAAGTGAGAGGCAGAGATGGTCCGAAGAGTGGGACGAGTATTGGGGAGTGGACGATACAGAGGGTCAGAAATTAGGGCGAAAGCAGGATGGTGGTGAGACCACAGGGAGTTAGGGAAAACATGCTGAATCTGTGTGTTTTCTCTACTAGTGTCTGGCCCCCAGACTGTCAGAGCGATTAGCTTAAATTGCTCTTCCCTTTGTGGTTAAACACGGTATTGGGGAAATTGCCAGAGATGCCTTAGTCTGCTGACTGCCCTGGTGCCTACTTCCTCACTTCCGGGACACCTGTGCCCATCATGTGTGTGTGTACTGATCGTCAGGCATGAAGAAGAGAGCCAGCGTCATGCCCTGCCATGCCATCCCCTCCCTCTCTCACACACAGCCTCATGCACCGTGCAGTGGGGGACATGATCAACCTGTATGCAGCCACCAGACTTACCCTGTCTCTCTACCGCAGGGAAGCTCACTCCTTCCTAAATAGGATGGTGTAGCTCTGAGTATTCAGCTGGGGACACTGAGTCACAGAACCCAGGAGTCCTAAGTATCCATATTTACCACCAAGCGGGATGGGATGAAACCCCACTGAAAAGAAAGGAGAAAGAGACTGAGAGACCAGGGAGAGAGGGAATGGATGAGGAAGAGACAGAACAGAAATAGGAGTGGGGAGAGAGAGAACCAGATGAGGGGAGAGCGGCACAGGCCCCACCTTCTCTTCACCATCAGGTGGCCCTCCTTTGCTGTGTCCAGGGCCAAGTGTCTCCTAATGCCCTCATCGCCATCTGGTCGGTCTTCTCTTAGACTAAGGGCCGAGGGCTTTGCACTGTCCCTGTGCAGAAGGGTGACCCATTTTGCTTCTTGGGCTGAACTGAACGTCCTGAGACCCAGGTATCCTGCCTCCCCTCACTCCAGGCTGACTCTGGAGTGTTAGAGCTCTATACTTTGTTACAGGGATAAAGACCTCCCCCCAACCCCGCTAAAAAAAACCAACCAAACACCAAAAAACTGAATAGAAGCTAAAGGAAGAGGTCAATTGACAATAGTATGAATGGAATAATTAGGGATGAACTACTTGGACTGCTTGAATTTGGGGCCCAGATAAAATTTAAAATAGAACCCTGCACTCCCTTCCCAACCTTCTGCTTCTCCTTGATTACCCCCCTACACACACACACACACACACACACACACACACACACACACACACACACACACACACACACACACACACACAC